GGGGGGCCGGCCGGGCCTGGCGGGGGGCGGCCCCGACGGCGACGCGCCTCTGCGCCGCAAGGCATTGTGGGGAGCGCAGGCCGCTAGTGAGGTGGTTGGAGGCGAGGTGGGGGCGGCCGTTTGTTTTCTCGGGCCTCGAACTCGCGCGCTCTCTTCCCCTCCCCCACCCCGGCGTGCGGCGGGGCGGAGAAACGGCGGCGGCGGCGACAGCGGCGGTAGCATCGGACACCCTCTTCTCTCCTCTCCGGCGAACCGGTTCCTCTTCCCCCTCCCTCTCACTGTTTGTTGTGTGTTTGATGTGTTAAAGCAGGAGCGAGCACGCGAGCAGCGCCATGAGCAACACTACCGTCGTCCCCAGCACTGCGGGCCCAGGCCCCAGCGGCGGGCCCGGTGGCGGAGGCGGTGGCGGTGGCGGCGGCGGCACCGAGGTAATCCAGGTGACTAATGTCTCCCCGAGCGCTAGCTCTGAGCAGATGCGGACACTCTTCGGTTTCCTAGGCAAGATCGACGAACTGCGCCTCTTCCCGCCGGAGTGAGTACCGTCCACCATCGCCGTTTTTGCTAACGCCGCCCCAGCCTGGGCCTAACCCACACCATTTCCTTAGGCCCTTGTCGCTGCTTCCCTGGCCGAGGCTGCTTTGGCTGTTGAATGCTCTTAAAGAATCTTGGTCGTAGGCCTACAGAAAAAAATGCAGAGACGCAGGGCCAGGGCTTTTTAGATTCCAAGTCACTAGCTCTTAATCTTGGGAATTTTTTCCTCTTAAATTATGCCAACGTGGTCGTTTTGCTTTAGACACTTTAAAGCAAGACCGCTTTATGCGTTCTGTATATAGTTTAACTGCTTTTTTTTCTTAACTGTTCTATGGGAAAAGGAACGAAATATTTTATGCCTGTGTTTAATTTGGCATTGAATTTTGTAGGTTTGTGGCTTACTTATTTAACAATGTTGCTGTTAAGTGATTCTGGACCAACGAGTATAATTCAAAGTTTAAGCCCTTTATGACACAGTTAATTCAGTGAGTCTTAATGCATAATCTCTTTAATATAAAAAGTGGGTTATGGGTGAAATCTGGGATTTTCCTTTGTTTAAATAATGTCCAATCTGTGTTTGTTTACAGTTCTTGAGAAGAAAAGGAATTTTACAGAGTGTTGAGAACCAGTGTGTGGCTGTTTTTTAATCTGCCTCACACTCATTTGTTGATTAATTGTAAAGAAAAATAACTGAGGCTCGATTTAAGAAGTAGTATAAAATGTAGAGAATGGTAGAGCAGCCGCTTGAAATAACAAAACAGATGTGTGCTTGTTGGGAAGACTCAGTGGTGGAAAAGTGAAAAATTCAGATGTTATTGTTGGTGAACAGTACCCAGTTTTATGATGTCATTTAAGTACTAAGCAAATTGAATTCCTGAAAGAATCTACTGGTGTTGCATAAATCGTTAAGCTTTGTACATTTCTGTTCAGTAAAATCATTTACGGACTAATCATAATGAAGTATTTGCTTAGTGTTAGCATTTTTCACTAAAAAAGTCTTCATGTTATTAATAGTGTTTCAAATTGGTATGATGTCCTTAACTTTATTGAAATATGGAAGGACTTCAGAAACTTCGTGGAAAATACAATTAAAGTTCCAGTTTATCTTGGTGCAAAATACTTTTGAAATCCACGTATGGTTTTTTAATTTTACACATTTCACATGACCTTTCTAAAGACCTCTCATAGACAGAAAAAGTGTCCAATTGTTAATTTGCATGAGGTGTGGGGTTCTGGGAACCAACACTTGCTTTTATTGTAGTTATTTTGATCGGGAACTTGACTTGCTTTGGTAAATAAAGGACAATTGACTTTGATAATAAACAGATACGTAAATAGATGATTGTTGTTAGTTTTGTTTTCTCACAAGGTGCTGTGAGAATTCTCACAAGCGGGTAGATAAATTTTGAAGAAAAATTTCCGTAAGTTATGGTGTAAGATAAGATATAATAAATATGAGAAGAATAATTCAAAATAATGTAATTTTCTAAAATTAATAAACAGTAAAATGGCAGAAAATGAGAATACGCTTTATTGTATTTTATTATTGGAGTATAAGATTTTGGTATTCAGGTTTTTTCTAAAGATTCAGTGAGTCTTAATGCATAATCTCTTTAATATAAAAAGTGGGTTATGGGTGAAATCTGGGATTTTCCTTTGTTTAAATAATGTCCAATCTGTGTTTGTTTACAGTTCTTGAGAAGAAAAGGAATTTTACAGAGTGTTGAGAACCAGTGTGTGGCTGTTTTTTAATCTGCCTCACACTCATTTGTTGATTAATTGTAAAGAAAAATAACTGAGGCTCGATTTAAGAAGTAGTATAAAATGTAGAGAATGGTAGAGCAGCCGCTTGAAATAACAAAACAGATGTGTGCTTGTTGGGAAGACTCAGTGGTGGAAAAGTGAAAAATTCAGATGTTATTGTTGGTGAACAGTACCCAGTTTTATGATGTCATTTAAGTACTAAGCAAATTGAATTCCTGAAAGAATCTACTGGTGTTGCATAAATCGTTAAGCTTTGTACATTTCTGTTCAGTAAAATCATTTACGGACTAATCATAATGAAGTATTTGCTTAGTGTTAGCATTTTTCACTAAAAAAGTCTTCATGTTATTAATAGTGTTTCAAATTGGTATGATGTCCTTAACTTTATTGAAATATGGAAGGACTTCAGAAACTTCGTGGAAAATACAATTAAAGTTCCAGTTTATCTTGGTGCAAAATACTTTTGAAATCCACGTATGGTTTTTTAATTTTACACATTTCACATGACCTTTCTAAAGACCTCTCATAGACAGAAAAAGTGTCCAATTGTTAATTTGCATGAGGTGTGGGGTTCTGGGAACCAACACTTGCTTTTATTGTAGTTATTTTGATCGGGAACTTGACTTGCTTTGGTAAATAAAGGACAATTGACTTTGATAATAAACAGATACGTAAATAGATGATTGTTGTTAGTTTTGTTTTCTCACAAGGTGCTGTGAGAATTCTCACAAGCGGGTAGATAAATTTTGAAGAAAAATTTCCGTAAGTTATGGTGTAAGATAAGATATAATAAATATGAGAAGAATAATTCAAAATAATGTAATTTTCTAAAATTAATAAACAGTAAAATGGCAGAAAATGAGAATACGCTTTATTGTATTTTATTATTGGAGTATAAGATTTTGGTATTCAGGTTTTTTCTAAAGAATAATTTTATTTAACTTTCTTTATTTATTTAGATCTGATCAGAAAGGGACAGAGAAAGTGAGAAAGCAAACCGCCAGGTCCAGGACTCAAACCATGGTTGGCTATTTGGGAGGGAGTCCAGCACCCTTAACCACCATGCCACCTACCAGCCTGGTGTTCAGTTCGTTTAGATCATAGTTCTTTGCTGTTCCACACATTACTAAGACTTTCAGAAATAGCTTCTGGCTCTACGTGCTCAGTTTATTACCTAAAGATGTTCTTTTTATGATGTATTAATAAAAAGAGGTGTAGGCATTTTTATTAGTTCATATTTTACCTTAATTCATTTACAGTATCAGAACAAGCTATTGATGAGCCAGAGTCTGGCTTTTTGCTTTGTAGTCAAATGTATATTTCATCATATTCAGAATAATCATGTGAGCTCCAGAATTTTGTATACCCTAAGAGGTCTCCTTTCTCTGTATTAGAATGAGATATATTGAAACGTTTTAGCCTTTTGACTCCTTTTTTTATATTCCTACTCAGGGATTTTTTTTTTTTTTTTTCCCAAATGTACAAAGTTACAATGCAGTAAATGATGTACTGTTACCTTTAGTAGCATTCCAGATCCAACAGTACTGTAGATGGCAACTTTTCCTGTTGGGTTTTTGTTTTTCAGCAGATTTAAATTTCAATGGTTAATCTGACCTACAGAAAGTGGGAATTCTGTCTTGACAAATTCTATTAACTCTACTCGAGTTTTCAATAGTGATTTGCCACTGATTGTGTGCTGTGCATTTCTGATAGTCCAGAAGGGTTTCATCATCAAAAATATTTACTCTTAATCATTAGAATAAGATGGACAGCTCACACTGTAGAAAATTCCATCTATTCCATACACATTTGACACCAGATGTTTTATAATATATTTTAATTTCCCCAAAAATGGCATTCATAAAAACCTGGAACACTTTTTCCACTCTGTGTGCCCATGACATTCTCACTTCTGTTTCTGAAATGTCTCCTTAACCAAAGAAGCCTTCCCTTTACCATGTCTAAGAATACAGCTCCCCTGCTCTGTCTCCTCTGTCCTCCTTAACACTGCTTTGTTTTTCTCCATAGTACCTACTATCTGTTGATAAGTTTAATTGCCTGCATTTTGTAGAGTATGAGGTTTGGGCTCATCAAATAGCCTGAAAGGCATTTTTAAAGTACATACATACAGACGCACACACCCACGAAAATTTAATTTCACTTATAATTGCCTAATTTGGGGTTAGTTTTTGGGATTTTGGCGAACATTTAAATGACAACCTGCTCAAGAAAGTGTCCTGAGTCCATCTATTTCTTGATTCTTTTAAGCCAAAACTACTGATCTATAGTTTTATCTAGAGCTACAAATAATGTCTATACAATTCTTTCCTATTTTAAGAACAAGTTACTTTGATTCTACTTGTTACTAAAACACGTTGAAAATTCAGCATTCAATGTCTGTGTAAGCACCTTTCACATTTATCCTTTTTTTTTTTAACATAGGACACATGCTCACATCACCCAATAGGGCTTGGTTACACTGCAGTCCATTTTCCAATTATCCTGTCAGGATCCTGGGGATCACATGCATGTGCCTGGTGTTTTCAAGCCAATATATCTCACTCAGTCCTTTAAAGCCGAGAGGAAGGGGACCAGCAGTTAGCGTAATGGCTATGTCGCTGGACTCCCACATAGTCGACTGCAGTTTGAGTCCTGGACCCGGCGGCTTAAACTCACAACGGGCACGTGTGCATGCGTGACCAAGATCCCGAGAGGAGAATGGAGAATGGGTTGCGGTGTGGCTATCCCCCCGGGGGGGTGATTTCTCACTTTCTATCTCTCCATCTCTGTCTGTCTGGCGAGCGCACGAGCCCTATAGCCAAAAAAAACTCTCCAAAAAAAAAAAAAAAAGCCCAGAGGAAGAATGTATTTCACTGTTTTACAGATGAGCAAACTGAAATTAATCTAGATTTTGTGTGCTCAGGCCACACTGCCAGTGTCAGAACTAGTATTTGAACTACAATAGTACAACTTTTCTTTACCACTTCATCTGAAGTTTATTGGATTATGTCCTTCTCTACGTGTAGTAGGTATTCAAAAGTTTGGTTTGGGGGCCAGCACGTGGTCTTGTGGTTGAGGGTCTGGATACCACATGGCTAACTCCACAATTCAAGTCCTGGACCCAGCAGCCAGAAAAACATGCCAGGTGCTTGTGTGCCCAAATCCCAAACGGATTGTAAAAGGGATTGTGGCACCACCCTGGGGGGAGGGGGGATGATTTTTCACTTTCTGGTCTATCCCTCTCCAGCAAGCACATAAACCCTATAGTAAACAAATCTTAAAAGACAGAAAGAAAAAAGTTTGGTTCAGTAGAGTTCCTTTGTGGAGATTATACCTAGAGTGCTTATGTTAATCCAAGTGAAACATATCGAAGTAGTATACTAAATGAAGTCTGTAACACTTAGGTAAGTGTTAATTCATAATTTTATTAAGATTTATTTATTTAATTCCTTTTTAAATTAATTAATTAATTTATTTTTTTGCTTAATCAGAGAGGGAGGGAAGGTGAGAAAGTAAGCAGCCAGGCCCAGGTCGAACCATGGTCTGCCAATGTGGGAATCCAGCACCTTTAACTACTACACCACCTGTCCATCCCCATTAATAACTTTTTGATGACCCAAAATGAATACTTTATTGGTCATCCGAGTATAAATAACTTAGAAAATTTATGTTTAGGATAAAGAATTTAGTTCACCTTTACAGAAAGAAATTGTTTTAATAACTACAACACTTCTGTGTTTCTTGACGTGATGAAGGAAAGTACATTTGAGAGCAAAAGGGTCCAAGTTTTTAGATAAAATGTTACCTTTGATATATATATCTGCAACTTTGAGGGGGTTGTAAACTCAAGAGAAAATATCAGTGGAGGATCTTAAAAATCAGGGTTCCTTCCTAAAGGTGATTCTCTGATTGGTCTTTAGATAAACAACAGAAACTTGAATTTTGTATGTGAAAAGAAACCTAAGTGTTCTATAGCAGCCCCCCAGAAGACACCTTAAGAACCATTGCAAACAATACCACTGTTCGGTAAAAGGCAAAAGCATCTGACCTCGCTCACTTTCCCCTATCTTGTTCCTCAGTTTCCTCTGTCTCATCTCTAACAGACATGAAGTAAAAACAGACATTTACTTTTTTAGTAATAGCACTTGCATAAAATCCCAGAGTAACTGCTATTTTATATCTAAAAGAAATAGAGATTATTTTTCTTTTTTAGTAATGGTTTTTATGGTATTCAATTTATTCATATTCTATCTTAAACTCCCCCCACCAGCACCATTACAGTTACTGAAATATACAAAGGAATAATTGTGTTCCCTTGACATGACCTGGTAGTGAAAACTAAGACATTTGGGCCAGCACATGGCATAGCAGTTATGTTACTGAACTCCCACATGATTGACCACAGTTCAAATCCCAGCCCCAGAGACTTGAAACTTACACCAGTGAGGGTGCTTGTGTGTTCAACATCCCAGGAGGAGAATGCAGAAGAGATTACAGTGTGTCCACTCCCCTCCCCCACCCCAGAGTGGGGTGATTTCTCACTTTCCCTCTCACTGTCAGTCTCTGGAGAGCACATGCTCCCTAAGGCAAAAAAAACAAAAAACCAAAACCTAAAAAATTAAAATTAAAAAAAACTAGGACTTTTTTTTTTTTTTTTTAATTAAAAGAGATCCTCCCCAAGTTTATGGACCCCAGCAGTTGTCATAATGACTATGTCACTAGACTCCCATGATCTGCTAGACTGCAGTTCTAGTCCCAGATCTGGTCAAACCAGGCATATGTGCATGCGTGCCCAAGATCCCAAGAGGAGAATGGAGGAGAAGGAATTGTGATGTGGCCATTCCTCACTTTCTGTCTCTCTCTCTCTTTTTGGCAAGTGCACATTCCCTATAGCAAAAACCTCTCCAGAAAGCGGGGGTGGGGGCATGGAGATGCATATTATTTTTAAAATGCATGGATTTCAAAATTGTTTTGCATCAAAATAGACCCATCCTTTAATTCTTTTTGGACTTCAAATAGTTTATGGAAAAATTGTATTAAAGTATAAGTCCTAGATCCATTGCATTAGGTGTTAATAACACAGGATGATAGAATTAAGAGGGATTTTTTGGCCCAGCTGTAGTGGTGTGCAATCCAGAAATCCATATGAAAGATCAGGGATCATTTCCTAGATTGACCTATATGTGTTGTGCTGGGCATACCCCTCTGATCCTGGCACATGGATGACCAAAAAAGGGGGGGAGATATACTTCTAGTACTAGAACTGCTAACACATTTTTTCCCCTACCACTCTGGGTACAACATCATTAACTTTTTGACCAGTGGTACTTTCACAGTTGATTTTTAAAAACAACTAAAACCCTGTCCTTTCAAAAGCAATAAGCCTTACAACAAGGTGGATTCTATTTCTTTGTGAATTTGATAATCATGCTGCTTTAAACCAGGATCTATTCTTAGTATGGGAGATCCCTTTAAGGAAACTTGCATTATAATCCTAGCAGGTTTGAGTTTCCAGGCTCTGTAGATAGCTTCATGCTAGTGGTTTGTTGTTTATCTATCTATTTATTTATTTATTTATTTTGGAGAGGTTTTTGCTATAGGGCATGTGTGCCCACCAGAAATACAGAGACAGACAAAAATCGCCCCCCAGGGGGGATGGCCATGCCCCACCTTCTCCTCCATTCTCCTCTCAGGGTTTTGGGCGCGCACACACATGTGCCCAGCGTGATTTTAAGCTTTAACAGGTCTGGGTCTTGAACCGTGGTCGACTACATGGGAGTTCAGCGACATAGCCATTACGTCAACTGCTGATCCCACTTCGTGCTAGTATTCAAGTTATGATAAAATTATTTTCTTTTAGTGCCCAAATTTAAAAAAAAATTATTTTCAATGCTGAATATGTTGATAATACCCTGTGTTGTGTAGGTTGGGACCATGTGGGAGGCCTGAGATTGATTCCTGGTCCACTCTAAAGGCCCAGTGTGATGGCATGCACCTGTAATCCCAGTTTCTCTGGAGGCTCAAGCAGGAGATTGCAAGCTCTAGGCTTGCCTAGGCAACATAGTGAAATCCTCCCTACAAAAGAGCTGGATTTAGTGGCATATGCCTCTAGTTCTGACTGAGAGACGGAGTCACAACAGAAAGATCATGATAGTGAGACTGTCTTAAAAAAACAATGAGTTTGTATCTGAAATACCTAGTGAAAAACAGTCGGATACAATTATACTTTTTTTGTGTGCACGTGAGCCTTTCTGTTTTATTAGGTAAGTTAACAGTGAAGCTTCATTCAAGTGACATTTAAATAATGCTATGGCTTTCCCTTCCCATTATTGAATCTTAAGATATAATTACCTTGTTAAAGTAGATCAGTGGTTCTTTACCCTAGGTGCATATTAAAATAGGGAGGATTAAAAAGAGGAGAAGGATCTCAGTACTTCATCTGAGATCTCAATTGAGTTAATGTGGTAGAGTGAAGAAACCTAGATAATTTTTATTTTTTCCAACAAATAATGTCTAGCTAGGAATGACATTCCTATGGCCTTAAGTTCTCAGTTTTCATGTAGCTTGTGGACTGGGGTTGGGGAAGGAAAAAAAAACACCTTTATTTAATCTTTTAAATTTATTTAAAGAAAGGAGCCCCCCGCCCTGCATTATGTATTTACACCATCATAGCTTGCACTTCAGTACTTTCTTCTTTTTTTCTTTGTTTTTTTTGGGGGGGAGTGATTTTTGCTATAGGGTGCTTGTGTTTGCCAAAGAGACAGAAATAGAGAAATCACCCCCTAGAAGGGATGGCCACTCTGAATTCTCTTCTTCATTCTTCTCTTGCAATGTAGGGTACACACACGCACCTGACATGAGTTTCAAGCAAACAGGTCCTGGACTTGAACCACAATCAGTCACTTGGGAGGCCAGCGCCTTAACCACGACACCACTTGCTGGCCCCAGTACGTCCTTTTCTTTTCCCTAAGGAAGCAGTTTGCTGAGGGAAGTGGTTCTTTCAGTTCATTGTAATTTTACATAGTAGTACCTGTGGACTAGATTACTGTCCCATAAGTGCTTAAACTTTTTTTTGCTCTGGAAGCACTCTAAGCCAGAGACCCTTTATTATTGACAATACCTAGGATTTTGTAACATGCTGTAGATGAAAGACAGGGCATGAAACAGTTTACTGTGTAGGTCAAGGTTGTCTACTAGATGTATTTTCTTAAAGTGATAAATTCTTCATTCATTTTAACTTTCAGATATCAGGCATAATGAAAAGTGTCTAAACCAAAAGTAATCACTTGCTATCTCTTTGTATCAAACTCTTTTAAATCTGGTATGTTGTAAATATGAATACTGATTCTAGGTTTTTATCTACACTACAAGTTATGAAACATTTTCTTTTGAGCTGGTTAAATTAATATACACATGATTAAGTATTTTTATCTGCCTATTTTGTTTTGAAATGCAAGTGTTGGTTTATGAATTACACATTTGTGTTTTAGCCGATTTTTTTTTTCTCTTATGTCTTTTTTTTTTTTTTTTTTTTTTAGTGACTCACCTTTGCCAGTTTCATCTCGGGTGTGCTTTGTTAAGTTCCATGATCCAGACTCAGCAGTTGTGGCGCAGCATCTGACAAACACTGTATTCGTTGACAGAGCTTTGATAGTCGTACCATATGCAGAAGGTTTGTGCTTTGTTTAACTACCTATGTGGGCATCCTAAGATGACCATCTACCTCAGTATAGCTATAGAGTGAGCATTAGTAGCATGTTAAAATCTAAGCTATTAACATTTGAAACCCTTGTTATACTGCAGTCCATCATTTTTGTTTGCGGATTTTTTTTAAATTAGAAATCAGATCTGTTTTTATAAGATATTTAACCTTTGTTTTCTTTTAAAACATTTTTAAGTTTATTAAAACCATGTTCTTTTAATTCCCTGAGATAATTTTTATTTAGTTAAATTAAGGTTAAGTTTTATGAAAAAGTCCTGAAGATGAATGATTCATTCCATGTACATTTACACAGAAACCTTCAAATAAATGCATGATGGTCTGTTTTAAATAAGTCCCTAGCTTAGTTTTATTTCCTTAATGTTTCCTTGCACTGATAACCTGAAAAAAAATTCCCACATTGAATTCCAGTATACCAAGGGTTGCAATGATTTTGGTTTTTGTGAAAATTCAAGATTTCCTGTAGTTTAGGTGCCAAATGGGCACTGGGTGTTTTGTTTTAATGCCAGATTTTCTTGTTCATTCTTGCTATATTTTCTAGAATATCTCTAAATAATAAATTCTTCTCTCTGTTATTTGTGTGTGTGATTTTTATAGTGGAGAAGGCAAATGCAAAACCCTTCCAGATGACTGAAAAACAGTGGGTCCTCTGCAGCTACAGGGGATTCTAGACATTAACTAAAGGCCAGCAAGCACTCAAGTCCCCCAAGTGTTTTCCTGGTGTAACCATTTGTTAACTACATTTTCTCTCTTTTTACATTTTAGGCTGTTAAAGTAATTTGACAGAAAAAAATGAGCAGGTTTTTTGGATCTAAAAAAAGCCACTGTGACACGACAGCACTTATTTTAATGCCATTTCGTAAAATTTCTAAGGCATATTTTATAAATAGTCTGTTCCCAGTGTATTGCTACTTGATTTGCTTTGGGTAACTATAAATTTTGATCAACAATAACGCTGAAATATGATAAAATTACTGGTTCTTAAGTCAATAATTTAGTAAATATGCTGACCAGGATTTAAATGGTTTCCCCTTTTCTTAATAAACTGGTCAGTGGAACCTGAATCTTGATAATGTTGATTTTAGATGCTATCTTAGATCTTTGAATACAAATGTGAGCATTTACACCATACCTTGTTAAAGTTGTGAAATGTCTAGTTCTTAAAACTTAAATTGCCTCTGGTTTTCTAAAGAAAGTAACTTAAATTCATAGATTGGTTAAGACATGCTATATGGTAACAGTACATCTATTTCCAAGGTACTAAAATGTGTGAACCCAGTTTTAAGGTTTTAAAGTAGATAAACTTTTGAGTTAGTGTGTTTAGTTAAGCAATTTCTTTTATGTCAGTGTGCCTGTTGTAAAATAAGACTTACCATCAACAGAAAATTTACAGAATTCAAGTTCAGGATAAGTATAATATATGATAGGTCTTGGAACAAGGGTGAGATCATGTGAGTAATATGCAAAGCATTTTTAGTTAGTCTTTAAATTTAAAGAATTCGTAATGACTAATTATAATTCCCAAACCCTGAACATAATACAGTATATCATATAACTGGCTTTCATAAATAATGTTAGAGCATAGAAAATTTCCTAGATATGTTTTTGGACATGAAGTATCAGGAAGTATTTATAGAATTGTAGAAATACTTGGTCAGGAAATTTATTTTTGGTGTATTTAACTTCTGATATGATATACTGTATTAATGTCATCTTCACTAAATAACTTAATGTATTCAGTACCTTTGTTAGCATTCACTCTGGTTTTAGCTCTTATATTTTGGTGTTGGCTCTTGGTCAGTGTTTTAAAACAATAGACAAAGTCTACGGTAAGGAATAGTTTTAATTGGTAAAACTGAGATAGCTGGATTTGGAAGGAACTCTTAATAGTAATGGATTTGGGGGTTATTTAGGTTCCTTGGTTAATGTTTGTTTCTTTTGTCTGTTTCTTTTTCTTTCATTTCTACACATTCATGCAGTATTTCATGGTTCTATCAAAGCAGCAGTAAAAAAAATACTCTTGACGCATGAAAATTAACTGGTGAGGGGCCTCATTGCTATTTTTAAATTGTAGTTTTATTTTCAAATAGTCTTTTTTAATCAGAGGATCAGATGCATGACTTTTTTTAATGGATGCAGATCTTCTATCAGGTGTCTCACAATAAATTCAAGAGGATTCTAGTTTGTCAGAAATGTTGCAAATGCACTATTTTGAGTAAGATGTGATATTTAATATATCCTCTTGAGACATAATTTTGCATGCAAAATTATCCCATAATCTTTGTAGGTTTGTTAATATGATGCATTAATGCCCTATATCTAAATGATCTTCTTCCCCCCTCCCCTCCATAACTCTCGGTATCTAAATTGATGACAGCTCTGACACAAGCAAGATAACAGTGCTGTGTAGTATACATTTGTTTATATTATCGGCACTTCTCAGTATAGGTGGAAGGAACCATTACCTTTATTTAACAGTGGTTTTTCTTTTTTGTTGTTGTGTTTTACAGTTCTTTTCCCTGGTTCAGCCTGAACTATATACCAGGCCCTGCTGAAAATACCACCCAACAGTTTTCTTCTGCAGCTTATCCAGTTTCTCTTAAGTGCCCTGTACATATTGTATGTTTTATGATGAGATGCAGTTTCTTAATATGTATTACAGAAATACTACTGGTATTTGCAAATATGTAGTTTAATTGTATTATTGAACTCTCATTTTGGGGGCTTGGGCACATTAACAGATTAATCCATCTGTATAGGGCTTTTGCTGTTGGATAGAATTTAAATTGTCTACATAAATATTTGTCTTAGGACCCTTAGATTTTATCTGAATACACAGATTAGGCTTTAAAAACAGACATACATGTCGTTTTTGGCTTAAGGAGTTTGGCTGAGTTAGCTTTTGAACTGATAACTATATAGCATCATTTTTTGGTATGGTTAGCATGGCACATGTTGGAACATAAAGCATTTTACTATACAGGTAAGGAATGTGCCATGTTGTTTACCTATTCTCTCTCTCTTTCTCTCTCACTCCCAAACACACATCGTGTGTATTCAGAGACCTTCAGAAACATCCATATTCGTTTTCATGAGTCAGCAAAAGCCCTACGCTTGATTCCAACAGAATATTTCCTTTACATACTTTTCTTCTCTTAATTTTTACAAAATTTGTATGGTAGGTGTAAAAAAATCATAGTAACTGTACCATATTATTAACCCCTAAATCAAACTTTTTTTGTCTTGTGTATCTTGATTTTTCTGTGTGCTTTATAGTGAAGCAGCCGACACGAGTCGTTGTTCATAAAACAGCTTTTGAAAGTTGAGAGCACACCCCTGGAGAACCGACTGTGCTTGCTTACGTTTGGTTCATGACTTAAAAATCGAGTACAGGTGATGAAATCTTGGCAGTGTTAACAAAAAAGTAGTGTGTATTGTGCTATTTTTTTTTACTCTAGAAACTTAACCATTTGTAGAGAAAAAGGAAACAAATTTTCACACATTGAAGTTTCATTCTGACATAAGATTAATGATAAATAATCATAGAAATCAAGCTTTATATTTTAGCGAACATAAGTACTTTCAACAAACTCAGGTGGTGTATCAGGGAGACATTTTCTGGGTGTTTTTGTGTGTTTTCTGTCTTAAAAAAGAATGTGTTCTAATGCAAGGGTGTTTCTCTGCAGGAGTTATTCCTGATGAGACTAAGGCTTTGTCTCTGTTGGCACCAGCTAATGCAGTGGCAGGTCTTCTGCCTGGTGGTGGACTCCTGCCTACTCCTAACCCACTTACCCAGGTACTAGTTCCACTGAATTTATAAAGAAGGGAAAGGAACACAGAATTATGGAGAAAGCTAGATATGTTTGAATTCTAAAAATGTTGAGATTTCTAATTCATAGAACAATATCACACTGTTTTTGAAGACTGTATTGAAATCATAAATAATAACAATCTCTTAGAAGTTTGCATTTTAAGAACATCCTAAAAATGAGAACACCAGCTAAGTTGATTTTGCCATTGGTTTTCAAGCTATCTCATAAGTCATTGCGGAATAATCTTATGGAGCATAAAATAATTCTTGATGAGGATGTTTAATACAGGGAAGATGAAATAATATTGGTTAAACTAATGATTCTAACACTGATGTACAAAGTACTGTACAAAGCATATTGTTTTAGAACTGAAAACACTTTAAATACCATGAATTTTAACGTCTCAGTGGTTCACAGATAGTACTGACTGATGATTCATAATTATAAAACCAAAAATGCATGAAATGCATTTATTCATTCTCCCTGTGTAAATAATTAGTTCTTTTAACTTTTGAACATAAAGTGAACTATAATATATTATGAAAAGATCAGGAGTTCCCAGGCTTTTTTGGGTATAAGTTTGATTATCACTTATACTCTAGTTTGTGTGGTTTCGTTCTCTTTTTTTTCCTTTTTTTTTTTTTTTTTTTTTTTTTTTTTTTTTTTTTAATTCCTAGTAGGGTACATGCACTTGCCAGATAAAGAGGGAGGGAGGACCTCTCAAAGTGTGCAATCACGCTGCAATCCTTTCTCCATTTGTGGAATTTGGAGCACATACATATGGCATGTTTTCCAAATCATGATCCAGGATTCAAACTGTATAGTTGGCCATGTGGGATCTAGTTCCTTTAGTCCCTAACCTACAGGGGTGATGCCAAGTCTTGTTCTTTTATATGTAAAATGACTATTTGGTAGTTTCTTCATCCCTTTGATGTATGAAACAGTAGCCCAGCAGTGCATGGTGGACACTGCTGATGGGTAGACATAAGCCACTTAAGAGGCCTGGCTTGAATTCCAACCTTAAATGGTCAGGGTTGGCGGTTGGCACTTGTTCTACCTACTCAGGAGATTGAGGCAGGAGGACTTGCAGCCAAACTTTACCTGAATGGGTCAGGCATGGTGGTGCATACCTGGGGTTCCAGCTGCTTAGAAGGCAGAGTGATCATAGCATAGACTTGGCCTAAAACAACACAAAGACACACATGCACGCTGGAAAAATCGTGTGATGACTATATTAGCAGTTTAAATTCAGAGCATAGCATTCAACCTATTCTCAGTAAATGCTTAAATTACGGAGAGTTTGGTACTTTGTATCTCCTAAATATTGATTAAAAGTAGCACAGTACTTGTGTAAAGTCAGATGGCATCTAAAGCTACAGGAGTTCACATGGTTTGTGTCTTATTAAATCATGGATTAATAGGAATTGTATCAGACAGTATACAGAACCCCAGTCACTTAAATAGGGAACATGTAATATAAAGAATTAATAACTAATGAGATTAATTCAATAACAATTAATTGTTCTGCCTATAGTATCACAAAGCAGAGCAAAGGACAGTGGATTTGGAATTGTGAAGCAGTAAATATAATTGGTACAGTAATGTGTTAAAATACTTGATAGTTTCTTACCCTGAATCTTGATTTTAAGAGGAAATGTGTGATGAATGAAAAATGGTTCCATCATACAGAGCAAGGGTTGACGAACTAAGCTCTTGATTCAGGCTCCTGTTATTGTTACTCTCTCTCTATTGGAACACAGCCATGTCCTTTTGTTTTGTTAGTGGCTGTTTTTGAGCTATAATGGTAAGAGTTAAGATAGATTTATGTACAATGAATAGTTGCAACAGAGGCCAAGTAATCTACAAAATTGGTCTGGTTTCTTTATGACCCTTTATGGGGAGGAAAAAACTGTTCATCCTTGGTATAAGAATATAAATGAAGTTTTAAATTGAAATTTCACAGATTGGCGCTGTTCCATTGGCTGCTTTGGGAGCTCCAACTCTTGATCCTGCCCTTGCTGCACTCGGGCTTCCAGGAGCAAACTTGAACTCTCAGGTACAACTTGTTACCCTTCTGCATTTGAATCCATATTTAAAGGGATTCTTTTTGTTAAGTTAACTTTAACTCAAGAGAAGTTAACTTCTAGAGTGTAATACTTTTTATGTAAATTTACTGCTGAGAATTTAATGGTTACTGAATTACTAACCCTTTATATGTCCTAAAGAGTTTCTTGTTTAATACAGTTCAAAACAAAATAGGCTCACAGGACACCAAGGCATCCTCCATATCTCAGGGAATAAGAGTAAATAGTTATGAAAACGTGAGTTTATAAATTGTTTTCTTAAGGATTTATTTTTAAGAGACTTTTGCCATAGGGCACATGCATTTTCCAGAGAGACAGAGAAAGCAAAAAAATCACCCCCACGTGGCATGGCCACGCCACAGTCCATTCTCTTAGGACTTCAGGCACACACATACACATGCCCTATGTGAGTTTTAGGCCGCTGGGTCTGGGATGTGAACTGCAGTCGACTACATGGGAGTCCAGCGACAAACCATTACAGTATCTGCCAGTCTGCTTAAGGAAATTTTTGTCTTTATTGTAATTTGGCTGAATTTTTCTATAGTTCTTACTTTGTGGAGATCTTTTGATATTATACTGGTTAAACTTACTTCCCTTCAAGAACTCTTAAAGGTAATTCTACAAAATTTAGACTCCTCAGGTCTTCAGGTAATTTGTTAACAGCTGCTCCATCTGATACCATATCCACCAACATCACCAGTTTTACCACTTTCGTTTTGTTTAATCTCATTCTTACATTTTTGTTTTCACAGTCCCTTGCTGCAGATCAGTTGCTGAAGCTTATGAGTACTGTTGATCCCAAGTAAGAGTTTTTTGTTTCCATTGGTGATAGATAGGGTATGTGAATGTCTAGAGAAAAGTTATTTTTCTGATAGCTAGAAGAAAGTTGTTATCAAGGCATGCAGTTTATATTGATTTCTACAAACAAATCCAGAAGTAAATCCAATTAAAAGGAATTTGTTTTATCATAGTTTGGGTCTTTCATAGTAATTGTAAATGACTTATTGCCAGAATGAAAGCTAAAGAGCTTAATGTTCTATCTTGTTGATTCATTTAAAAATAAACATGAATGCCCTCAGAGCAAGCGCATTTTTGCTCCGGTCAGGAAGAAAGATATTAAAATACTGTAAAGTATGAGCAATCATTTAGGGAAAGTAGACATGTGCTATGGGAACTATTGTAAGGAGAAAGCTTTATTTGAAGATCAGCGGCCAAACTCTGAAGATAATTGGAGTTGGGCAAAGCTGGAGGAAACACATCCTAGAGAAAGATATAGTACATATTATGTATTTAATAGCCAGCATCGTTTAGGCACTTTGATCAGTGCTCTTCATTCCATAACTGAAATCATTTTCAACTTGATATATGACAAGCCCGTGATATTTTTTTATAGTTGTTAATTTCTTAGTATATAAAATGAGATCTTTTTTCCTCTTAGTGTGACTTTCACACTGTTAGTGAGACAGCATGGGGGAGAGAAGACAGAATCATTTCACTTTAGTAGTTAGTGGTTCTTTCTCTTAAAAATTATTTTGTGGTTTAAATAAAATCTAAGCATGTGTCCACCACTTGACTTATAAAATATCACCTTAATATAGTTGACTCTCTGTGTACCTATTCTTAATTACATTTCCCACTTTCCCCACAAATAACTACTTGACTAAATCTGGTGTCTGTAATTTTTTCTTACATGTATAAACCCTTAAGGGGCATCTTTAGCCTTTCCAGTCAGGATTTCATGTGTAACTTTGGTGGGCCATTGGCCTCTGCCTCAGTTTCTCCCCATCTGCAAACAAAAAGGTAATGCTCTTCCCAACAAAATTACAATTTGTAGAAAGTTTTTACATCACATGAGGAAAGTTTGATTGCATTTTTAGCATCCGTATATCCTCTTGTATAGCATTTCTCAAAATGTATTTATGGAAAGTTAATGGAAACTCGGCAAAATTAAATAGGTATTTTGCTTATTCCAGATACTCTGAATTATTATAATGCAGCTGCTTATTGTAAATATTCAAAATGATACTATACTGTTTGTTGTTTACCAAAGTTATCATGGAATCCTCCCCTCTTTTTTCAAAGTGTATTTTTACTGAAATTATTTTATGTAAGACATTTATATATTTGAATTGCTAGTGTGCCTTTTAAGATAGTTTCATACATCACTTTATTGTTCTATTTCAGGTTGAATCATGTAGCTGCTGGTCTTGTTTCACCAAGTCTGAAATCGGATACCTCTAGTAAAGAAATAGAGGAAGCTATGAAGAGAGTACGAGAAGCACAGTCCCTTATTTCTGCTGCTATAGAACCAGGTTAGATATGTTTTTAAGATTTTGTTGAATATTAAACTATTGGTGATACGGTATTGAGAGTGTGTGGAATAATTGGTCAGTTTTTTAAATTTTTCCAAATTCGGTTAAGCAAATGATCATGTAGTAGAGTGCTAGCCAGACATATTTGAAAATACCTGGAGCTGTTGGTATTTCTGGTTGTCACATTGGTACCAGCTACATGTAGTGTGTAATAGAGGACCAGAGGTTGTAAGATAGGCTCTAGTAAGCAGGACCTACCCTGCAACAATGATAGCTCCAGTTCTAAAATGTCAGTAGTAACTAGGATTATCTAATACTTGGAGTGGAATTTTGGTGACTTTTAATCATTTATCTTTATCTGTGTTGGAGTAGCTTATTTCCACAATCTTTTATTTAATCAAGAGAACCTAAGTGAAATAGCTTTTCTGTCATTTGTTTAAAGAAAATCTAATGACTTTGCAGATTTTTTAGGGGGGAGGAAACAAATGATTATTACATTGTATGCCTATGTATATATTTACCATCTGAGTTCTAGTTGTTTTCTTTTTGTTGAGTGTTTTCTTTTTTTTAAGCTCTTCTTTTATAAGTGATTCTAGTATCTATACTATTAGGAAAATTATTAAAAGTATAATTAATATTGGGTAAAATAATACAAGGTGTTTCATGTGTATTACATAATCAAATCAAAACAATGGCAGATATTAGCCAGAGTCCAATAGCAAGCAGTAGAAGCTGAACACACAGCTACAGCTGTGTAATGGCAAAGCTAGGATATACCATGTTCTCATGGTCTGTTTTCATGATTGTAATCATTGAAGGCTTTTTTTTTTTTTTTATGAATTACTGTGGTTCTTTTTTAAAATTATTTAATTTTATTTATTTATTCATTCATTTATTTTAATTTGACCAGAGAGACAGACAGAGAGAGAGAGATGGAAAGCAAGACAGCAAGCCATCAGGTCCAGGATTCAAACCATGGTCGACTCTGTGGAAGTGTCTAGCACCTTAACCATCACACCACCTGCTGGTCCCAAGTTACTGTGTTTTCTGAGTTTTTAAAATTATATTTGATATACATCCACCATTGATTCTCATTAACAAAATGAGCTAAATATAAAAGAGGAACTCGATCTCACTTTAATGATAGTCTATATGAAGAGTACAGTGGCTTTATTTCTGTCATTGGGTACCAAATTAAAATTTAGCTATTTTTCTTAATTTGCCAAATGCCACATGCACTCACTTAGGGGTTGTAAGAAGCAGAAGCGCCTCCCCACCCCCACCACTATCATGGGACATAGTCACTCTGCAGTCTCTCCTCCATTTTGCCTTCTTTTCAGGACTTGGGGCACATGCTGGTGCACACCCAGCATGTTTCTCAAGTCATTGGGTTGGGGACTCAAAACTCAGTTGTCCATATCGGATCCAGATCCAGCCATTCTAAACTACCATGCCACAAGGTGGCCCAGAATTTCTTATATGTTTGTGTTTGTTGTTGTTGTTGTTGTTGTTGTTGTTTTGTGTGTAGTTTGCTGTTGTGTGCATGCATTCACTGAAGAGAAAAAGTGAGAAAGCACCCCCAAAGGGAATGCCATTCCTCAATCCCTTCTCTTGGGATGTTGGGCATGTACACACATTAGCTGGGCAAGACTTTCAAGTCTCTGGATCCTGGATTCAAACCACACAATCAGTCATGCAGAATCCAGCTGCTTTAACCACTATGCCACCAGCTGGCCCTCTAACATGTTATTTTAAAACTAAGAAATAAAACAATTCTGTTCTAGATATAGTTCTACACTTACATAGTTGAAAATTGGTGGGGAAGAGGGGGGATAAGCAGATATCAGGCTATCTGTTTTACTGAAATCAAATTCTGTCACAGTGCAAATAGTGAGTGGATCATGACTTTACTGGTTTACAGGCCAAATACTGAGGGCATTCAATGAAAGCACATGAAGTTAAATGGAGGAGAAAGATGAGTGCTCCTTCATACCCCAAATACGAATATACACACATACAGAATAAGGAATGTTTTGCTAGGTAGCAATTTATGATGTTTATATTTTTACCTATTTTATTTTTATAAACCAATTTTTTAAAATATATTTAAGCTTATTGCAAAGGTATTATTAATACATAAACATGAAAATTAAAGCTGTACTATGGCTGAATTGTGACTTTTTGTGAAAGAACCTGAGAAAGGAGACTCATTTTCACTATTCCAAATAATAAACCTCAAAAAGCTGAAGAATAACAGAAATACAGTACACGAAAACATAACCTCCTATGTTTGGCAAGTATGGTAGTCAAAGGCACCTTTTAGCAAGCCAAGAATTAGAAATCTAATACAGACCTATCAAAAACTTGGATAATTTGTACAACTCTAGTACGTTTCAATATTGTAACTGTAAAATGATCATGTCTAACATTTAATGTTATATGCACTTGAAACTACAACTTAAGATAATAAAGAAATTGTTAGAATTAATGCTGACATGGGGATAATAGTCTAAATACAGATTCCTTTTCTTTTAAATCTAGATAAGAAAGAAGAAAAAAGAAGGCATTCACGATCAAGATCACGTTCTAGGAGGAGGAGGACTCCTTCATCTTCTAGGCACAGGTTAGATTGCTTTCTGTAGTGGACTTGAATCTTTTGATTTGAATTCTAGATACGCGTTTTTCATTAGACTTCTATTGCTTTTAAAATGTTAGGTTACCTATGTAACTTTTAGAATATCTGTTTGATGCTTCAGCGTTTGTGAATGACACCTTCATTTTTATTGATAGTCTGTTCATTTTTATTGATAGTCTTTCTTGAAAAAGATAGCACCCCTAACAGGTCATCACACCACACTCCACTCCCAGCCTCAGCC